TCTTCATATCAAAACGCAGATATCTCTCAAACCGGAAGGAATTTGGCGAAACGGAGGAAGCAAACCAAACCCTATGGGGTAGGTTTGGTCGGCTCTGTCTCGTCGAGATAGCCGATTTTCATATATAATTCGTCCCATTCTGACTTACGGTTTGAAAGTTATGACATGTTCTTCGCAGCAAGTTATGTTCTGAAGTCCGTCTGTGAGACTGCACTTCGCCTGAACATTGGACTTAGCCTGAAGCTCATCGAGCCCACCTGAGGCTCACCTCTGCATCCAAGATTCAAAATGCAGAGGTCATGCCCGCGTTCTAAAATCAAAACGCAGAGGTCGTGACCGCATTTGAGATTCAAAACGCAGAGGTCGTGATCGCATTTGAGATTCAAAACGCAGAGGTCGTGGCTACGTTCCAAACTTGAAACGCAGAGGTCGTGGCTACATTCCAGAGTCAAAACGCAGAGTTCGTGGACTCAAAACGCAGAGTTCATGCAGAGCCCAACTCTGTGTCTCAAGTTTAAAACGCAGAGTTCATACAAAGCCCAACTCTGCGTCTCAGGTTCAAAACACAGAGTTCATACAAAACCCAACTCTGTGTTTCAAAGTTCATAACGCTGCGCGACCTGTGCGTTTTCAACCTAAAATAGGCTCAACTCTGCGTTTGATGTCTAAAACGCAGAGTTTGGGCCCTGAACGCTATTTTTCAGCGTTTGACTCGTTCAAAGTACGAACTGAACGGTTTCTAAACCGTTTTCCCCACGATTTGGGGAGCTATTTAAGGGGATGGTTACACCCCATTCGGCCCGACTTAGGAGCGAATTAAGGGGATGGTTATACCCCTCAATCCCCTATAAATAGTGGGAAACTCAATTGAGTTCGGGTGGAGTTTTTCGGGCTAGAGATTTGGCTCTCAGATTCAGCCTTCTTTTTCATCCTTGGGCTTGGCAGCAAAGAAGATCCTTCATCCTTCGGCTGGAGCTTTGGAGATCAGCAACAGGAGCTTTCTTCATCCTTGGCTTATAAACCGATTTCGGTTAAATTAACTCTTTCATAGAGTTTCAAACTAGTTCAGAGTTCTAAAACTTACCACACAAGTTGTCCACAACATCAAATCGTGAGGAGAAGACCACGTTCCAGTGAATCAAGACGTGCGGATCGTCAACGGAGAGCAAACTCGACGCGAGCATTCGAGGGAGGCACTCCATCGCCACCGTGAAGAACCCAGAATTAAACAAAGGGGAGAATCCAGATCATTCTCCTCTCTTTTGTAATCAGGAATTCCAATTGTAATCGAGATTGAGAGGGTTGTAATTATTCTTTTTCTAAGCAGTTAGAGAGAATAAATCAAATACGATTCTTTTATTATTTTTCTTATTGCAAATTTTCCACCAAGCAGTAAATTTAATGTTCCTGAAGGTAAATTTCTACCTTTTTCCATCTTCTTTTTTATAATCAATTAGACCTAAATTCAGATTATTTTAAATATGTAGGCCGCTTTTACTTAGTTGACTCGGGATATGCTAATACTTTTATCGCACCATATCGTGGATCGCGCTATCATCTTGGAGATTTTGCAAATGGGACTGTAGGCTGTCTAAAAATCACAATGGATAGCTGATCCCTACCAAGCTCCGACGATGGAAGTCACAATCAGACGACTTTCTAATCACTATATTCGCAATTCTACAATCGCTACAAACACGGCCTCATTTTTGAGATGATTGATCTTGATGGTTGCGATAACAACATGACTAATATTATATTAACAACTATTAGAGATGCTGATGAGCAGTGTAATGATTTCAGAAATAAAAGGTTGGACGTAGTTGGTGAGTTGCTTGGTAGAGAGCTGTGGGCAAATATTCGTCCAGAAGACACTATGGATGTTGATTCCGGTCAAGTTCCAACAACGGAAGCTACAATCAAATAGCTTTGGCGCCGACAATCGAAAACTGCAAAAAGAGGACTTTTCATGTAAATCGAGGAGAGTTACAATTCAACGACACTTCCGACAATTGATGAAAACTCTATTCAGCAGTCTTCGCATTCTGCAATGAAAGTTACAATCTGACGACTTTCACACTCCACAACAGCTAAAGCTAGGATTACTGAACAACGGTCCTCGCAACGCTTCACAGAAGAAGCTACAAGTCAAAAAGCTCCTTCTGAAACGCGGATGTCATCCCCGCGTTACAAATATGGAAAGGCAGGCGACCCCCGCGTCTCCAAGGCACAAGCCAAACGTGAGCGACCCTCGCGTTCATAGGGGTTCAACCAACACTGACCCCCGCGTTTCCAAGCAGGCAACAAGCTAAACGCGAGTGACCCTCGCGTTCAATGGTGTTCAGCTAACACCCAACCTCGCGTCTCAATTCTAAGACACGAAGTTGGGTTCTGAACGCCAGATTGGGCGTTTGACTAGTTCAAATACGAGTCGAACGGTTTTAGAACTGTTTTCCCCACGATCTGAGGAAATCATGCCCACTTAGGAGCAGATTTAGAGGGCAGTTACAACCTCTTATCCACCTATAAAAACTCAACAAACTCAACTGAGTTAGGGGCTAGCTTTTTGGAACGAAAGAGTTGGCAACAGGTTGGATTCTCAGGATCTCAACCACTCGGTTCGGTGATTCAACAGCAGCAGCAGTAAAACTCTTGGAGATAGGAATTTTGAATAAAAATTCAGAAGATCAAATCTGAGAAGATTCTTCAGCAACAGAATATCAGCTTGGTCATTAACCGAATTTTCGGTTCTAACAACTCTATTAACAGAGTTCTAACTCGTTCAGAGTTCTTAAACTCGTTCAAGAGTTACTCATAAAACTTTTCACAGAAGTTCATCGTTCCCACGAGATAGAAGACGGTCGGATCGTCAACGGAGAGCAAATTCGGCGCGAGCAATCGAAGGAGGCATTCCATCGCTACCGAGAAGAACCCAGTTTTAAACAAAGGAGAGAATCAAATTCGTTCTCTTCTCTTTTGTAATCAAATTGTAATCAGAATCAAAGGAATACAAGTCAATTTTCTTTGTTCTTTTCTTTGCAAGATTTTGCAAATGGGACCACCAGAGCCTATCAAGATACTAAAGACAAATATAATCATAGGCATGCACAACTACGTAATGCAGTGGAAAAAGCATGGGGAATTTTAAAACAAAGATTCAAAATTTTGAAAGTTGCTGCTCCATTTCCTTATAAAACTCAAGTCAAAATCGTAGTGGCTTGTTGTGTTCTTCATAATTTTATTGTAAGGCATCAGGAAAATGATAAATACTTTAATATGCTCAATGGATTAGAGATGAATGAGGATGTAGATGAGGTGGAGGAGGAAGAAGACCCCAATACATGGTTGGTGCAGATGAAAGTTTAAGGGGTGAGAAACTTCGCAACAGGATTGCTTTACAGCTTTGGAATAATTGAAATATATAGTAATCGAATATTGAATTATATGGAGGTTGAATTATGTATTTTACTATCTTTATATGAGCTAAACTTGTAATTTTATGCAGAGATATCTAGTAGATTGTTTTTCCTTGAATAATCAAATCTTTTTTGCCTGGTTTATTGTTAGATAAGAAGCCATATAATATTTTATTAGCTCATTATCTCTCCTTAGCATCTGAAATAATGCGAAAATGATAGTATATTTTAATTTACCTTCTGAACAATCTTTATTGAATAATACCAAATTGTCATTTTAAAAATATTTGAAAATAATAATCTATCCATCATGTCTCAACTGGATTACATATTAGCGCTTTGAATCTTTGATCTTGCTCAGAAGATAAATAACGCGAAAAAACTATTAATGGGGCAAATAGTTTTAAATATTGAGTAAGGGCGAAAGTGGTATTTTTAAAAAAATTAATGAGATTAATCTCCTTATCCCTTCGTCATTTGCCAAACACAAAAGTCTTAACCCCTTGTCTTAACTAGCGAATCCAAACGGAATTAGAATATTTTTAACCCTTCATAATGGATTAACTAAGTTAACCCTTCTCATTAATCCCTCTTTCTTAACCCCTTGCCAAACGGGGCCTTAATGAGCTTGGATTGTTTCCCTATACTTGAAGTGTGAGAGACAATTAGTTGTCCCTTGTAGTTTTAGTCTCTTAGCTCTTCATAATTATATATAGGGATCAAAATTGTATAGGGTTTTATCCTTCCCCTTTTCCCCTCTCTGTTATTCTTTTCCTTATGACAACAGGTAAAAAATTACAAAAGCTACATGTAACAAACCAAAAAATTATATCATGCAGCCTTTAGCGACTCCACATGAGATTTCCCCTTCGGCCCTCGTTTGCGCATGTACATTCCGTACTGGTCGAAGGTCATCGGTTGGTAGAGCGACGGCCGCTCCGGCGTCACGAGCTCCGGCACCGGAGAAAGCGGCAGGTCACTCTTCGGGTTGTAGAAGAAGGCGATAGATAGTCTCTCTGCTTCTGCGTTCACTGTCACTCGATGCTCTATGCTCTTGTATATTGCGTTGCTTAGGATCTGCGGTTAGAAGATAAACTATAGCTTAAATGATGTTGTACCTCGTTGATTTATGTGTAAAGATCTTATTTAACCATACAACATATATTTCTGCTAAGCAATTAAGGCAAGATGCTCAGAGCATTTATTTTTCTTCTAATTTACAGTTCTAATTCAATATGTCACCCTCTTGCAGCTCTATCATCTACTCCGATGACAAAGTGATATTGATCTCACCCTAGAAAGAAGATTATCATGCAATCAGAAGATTGACATTTTGTTCATTCCAAATGCTAAAGTAGGACGATAAGTGGAATGGTCCAATACTTTTTTTATGGTCCAATAATGTTGGGCTTGTATCCAACCTAGTTGAACATAATTGGTTTCGTACAGTTAATGAGCTTGGATTGTTTCCCTATACTTCCAGTGTGAGAGACAAGGTGCCCCCTGTAGTTTTAGTCTCTTTGCTCTTCATAAATATATATAGGGATCAGAAAAAGTTATATATAGGGTTTTATCCTTCCCCTTTTCCTCTCTCTGTTATTCTTTTCCTTATGACAACAGGTAAAAAATTACAAAATCTACGTGTAACAAATCAAAAAATTACATCATGCAGCCTTTAGCGACTCCACATGAGATTTCCCCTTCGGCCCTTGTTTGCGCATGTACATTCGGTACTGGTCGAAGGTCATCGGTTGGTAGAGCGACGGCCGCTCCAGCGTCACGAGCTCCGGCACCGGAGAAAGCGGCAGGTCACTCTTCGGGTTGTAGAAGAAGGCGATGGACAGTCTCTCTGCTTCTGCGTTCACTGTCACTCGATGCTCTACGCTCTTGTATATTGCGTTGCTTAGGATCTGCGGTTAGAAGATAAACTATAGCTTAAATGATGTTGTACCTCGTTGAATATGTACAAATATTTCAGAGTTAATTAAATTGCACACGGACTCCCTACAGTATGGCTGTTTTGAACTTACTATGCCTGCAGTTTCATTGTTGCAGATAGACACTCAAGATTTTATTTTTCTAGCTTTTTTTACCGAGGTGAAATTTTGGAAGATATTGCCCATGAGGGTAAAAAAGTTTTAAGCCAGGAGATTTATCTGCAATAATGAAACTATATGGATAGTAAGTTTAAAACAACAATATTACGGGAGGTCTTTGTGCAATTAACCATACATTTTACTAACACGTATGATTTGCATAGAGATTATAATATTTTTTTCACACATGTGTAAACTGTTAGAATTTAAAACAACCATCAACCATCATCACAATGGACTTTAAGATGATACCAGAGCAACCTAGTCCTACATGCCGTGAATTTAAAGTAGATTTTCTAAAAAATTGACATCGCTGCATGAGTCTAGATTTCGGCCTATAACAAGACACTCAACAAGTTGGATCGTATTGGAATATTAAACAATAGCCATCAATCCTCATCACAACTTTGGAGCTTTTCCCTCTCTCCCCTTATCTCTTCATCCTAGGAATGGAGTATCTCTCAAGGAAGTTAGATCTTCTATATCATGACAGGATGTTCAAATTCCTCCCTAAATGTAAGAAGCTCAAAATTTCACACTTGGTCTTTGCGGATGATCTCCTTTTATTTTCTAAAGCTGACCATTACTCAATACAGAAACTCCACCAATGTGTTCAAGAGTTTGGCAATACTTCAGGTCTTGAAGCCAACACTGATAAATGTTCTATTTTCTTAGAGGGTGTAGATGATTTAACGAAGTCTTCTATCATCAACCTGTTGGGGTTCAAATTGGGTGAACTGCCTTTCAAATATTTGGGTGTTCCCCTAGTAACCAAGAGATTGTCTTACCTGGATTGTAATCTTTTATTTACAAAGATTGAAGACCAATTCAATACATGGCAGAAGCATAAAACCCTCTCATATGCAGGTAGATTACAAGTGATCAAAAGTGTGATACTAGGTATTCAAATTTTCTGGACCTCCAATTTTGTCCTCCCAGTTAAGGTTCTGCAGAGGGTTGATGCATTGTGCAGGGGGTTTTTATGGGGTAAATCAACTCAAAATTTTAGAGCTCCTCTTGTGTCATGGGAAAAAATATGTTTAAGGAAGGAACATGGAGGATTGGGGTTGTTCTCTGCTCCTATTTGGAATTATGCATCTGCTTTAAGGTGTATATGGCATATTCATATAAATAAGGAGTTGTTATGGATTAAGTGGATCCATGGTACATATTTGAAAAGTAGTGATATTTGGCATGTGAATATAAGAAGTGGAGACTCGTGGATGTGGAGACAATTGCTTAAGTCAAGAGACAAAGCTATTTCTTTCTGTGGTGGGGTGAAAAATCTGAAGAATATGATATGTTCCTGCAATATGGATGGAAAAATAAAACTCTCTAACCTATATAAGTGCTTGTATCCAAGTGCAAGTAATGTAACATGGTCGAAGCTTATCTGGGAGAGACTAAATATCCCTAAGCACTCTTTCATATGCTGGCTAGCAATTTAGGATAGATTGTTGACACAGGACAGAATTTTGAAGTGGGGGATCGTAAACTCTAACTCCTGTTGCGTGTGCTCTACTTTGGTGGAATCTAGGGATCAGTTGCTTTTTTATTGTCCTTTTTCATGCCATGTATGGAATGGTGTGTTGGATTGGCTCCGAAGTAGATGGAAATCTTGTAATTGGAACCAATGTGTGCACTGGTTCTCTACCTGTTTGAGAGGTAAGGGTTTAACTCAAAAACTTAAGAAAATGGTCATGGTCACTACAGTATACATTTTATGGAGAGAAAGGAATAGAAGATTGTTTCAAGAGAAAAGCAAAGGTACGGATGTTGTGATCAAAGAAATTAAAATGGAGATATTGTATATTGTTCTCAATAGCCCTGAAGGTGGAAGTTTTCATTGTAATCTCTGTTAAGGGGGTCATTAGGTTTCTTTTTTGTTTGTTACTCAGATACACGTTGTGCTAATCTGAGTGTCTTGAACAAGGGATAAGGCTTTGACCATGTGTGGTGGGGTGAACAACCTTAAACTTCTTATTAGCTCCTGCCATAAAAATGCTAAGCTCAGGTTGTCTACACTGTATAAGGCTCTTCTTCCACCTACTGATAATGTTCCATGGTCTAAGGTAATATGGGGTAGTTTAAATGTCCCTAAACATTCTTTTGTGAGTTGGTTAGCTATTCAAAACAGACTTCTCACCTAAGATAGACTTCTCAGGAGAGGTGTTATCAACACAAACATGTGCTGTCTATGCGCAGGACAAGAATCTAGAGACCATTTGTTTTTCGAGTGTGCTTTGCAAAATGGAGTGGCTGTGCTTTAATTGGCGATCCATCTATTGGAATTGTATAATAGACTGGTTTGTTGGCAGGCTGAGGGGGAAAGGCCTTAAGCAGCAGCTCAAAAAATTGGCATTGACAGCTACTATCTATAATATATGGCGGGAGCGCAATGCTAGGATTTTTCAGGGAAAGTGTAGGAACACTATGCAATTGGTCAGAGATATAAAGATTGAAATCTCGATTATTATCCTTAATAATCCATTAGTCAATAAGTAGAATTTATGAATCTCTATGTGTTAGAGGATTAGCTTGTATAGAAGTTTGTTATCTCAGACTTTTAGCTGAGTATTATGATGTACCACAATGTTCATATTTGATGAATGAATAAATCTTTTCATTGATCAAAAAAAAAAATAATCTAAGTATCCTGAGGTGTACTAGACTTTCACATTTTTGGTAGTGAATGAATTTTTTTATTCACAAAAAAAAACTTTGGAGCTTTTGTGTAATGATTAGAGAGACTTTAAGAAACTACAATGTATGAAGGTAAGTTTCACAAATCTATCATAAATTTCAAGGGATTTGGACAGAATCTTCTTCATTATTAGATAAAACTATCATGACATTTCAAAATGCAGAAAATATCATGAAAGCTTGAAAATTTTGATATTAAAGGTTTCGATGAATTGTGCACGGCATTTAAATAAGGGAGACATATAGAAGAAGATATTACATAATGTCAAAATTTTCCCAATCATATTACACATGAAACGCATGACAAGTTATCCTAATTGTTATATGTCAAGTAAAATATTTTAGTGAAGTAGTTTTCTTTAATATAAGAAGTATACGGTAGTTTTGAGAAATCCCACAAATATTTACCGTTGCATGAATATAAACCCTTCCTATAATATGGTATGAATCCCATTAGAACCAACCCAATCAAGGCCATTCTTATAGGAGTTGGGTGGTTATATAGATGGACTCTTTATTTATTTATTTATTTTGATACTCATTGGCTATATTTGTTTTTTAATTATTCCCAGACTAGGGGGTACTGTATTACCTAGACAGTAATACTGGGCTTGTATTATCTTGATAATATTTTAGTCAAATCCAATATGTTTTTTTTACACAGACTAATATTCGAATTAACTTAATATAGTCCAGACTAGTATTTGTTCTTGGGGGATAACGACTATGTGGACTAATATCATAATCAAAATGATCTTTTTGCATGTCCTCAAATCAACTAATAGTACATTAAAAACACATCGCTTCCATAAGTAATTGATTAAATATTAGCAAGGTTTTCAAGAAGCAAATCACTTTTATCTTATTATGGATGTAATAAACTATTATATTTTGATTTATTTCTTTTATATATTTGTAGAACCATGTGAATAAATTGAGAGAATATATCTGATTAATATTTGTCATCAGGTACTGACGTTGTATCAGGACTTGTAGGATGCAATGGCTACTACATCTTTCTTCCGCACCCTTTTGCAGAATATGCCAAAAGAAAAAAAAAATTGAGGAAAACAGCACCGCGGGGAAAAAAGGCATGGAAAAATTGCAGTTGACAAAATCTAGTGAAAACAAGCCGCGCAAAAAGGATATAGAATAAAATTTAGAAAATAATTAGCGAAATTTAAAAGATAGGATCATTTTTTGTTAGAAAGTCTTTAATCGCCTAAATGGTTAATATCGGGATTATAAGATGTGGACAAAGTGTTTTTACTTTAGTCCCCTTTTGAATACTATATATAGCTAACCTCTTTTTGAACCGGATTAAAAAAAAACATGGATTAAAAAGGAGAGTTTATACAAGTTTCTGGAGTAAAATGTAACTATCACGGTGTGTGAACATATTTAGCACTATGTGTCATTATGTTGGCATCTAGTGCGTCGTGCCTTCGTAAGGGGTGACCACATGAGAGTCTCCTATCAAGGTAAGCGATTCACATGACACAGTAACAAAAATGTCATATTATTTATGTGGTCCACCAAATATCATGACAAAAAAGTAATAATCCAGCATCAATAAGAACAAAATGAACCTAGTGTTAGATTTTCTTTCCTTAGGGCCTACTTGGTCGTTATTACTTTACTACAAACAAATAAGTCTTTACTACAAGCAAATATGTCTCCCCCACTTTTTGGTACTTACTTCACTTCTAATTAAGAAAATGTATTTTTCGTATCTATTTTGCCAAAAAAAAGCATGGGGTGTAAATAATTTCCATTATTATTTTTAGTCTGGTTTAACTTAAAAATAAAAGAAAGCAATTGATGTGTGAATATATATATTTGAAGGACTGATTATAAACGTTTGAGGAAGTAACTTCAAATATTAACAAAATTTGAGGGGCTAATATTAAATTTAAGGTAGTAATTTATGAAATATTTTAAATTTTAAGGGATTAGTTTCAAATAATGAATATTTGAGGGAGTAATTTCAAAATGTTTAAATATATGTGGGATTGTTTTTGAATTTGAGGTAGTAATTTGCAAAAATGTTTTGATGACTAATCCCAAATAATGAATAATTGAGGGAGTAATTTCAAAATTTTAAAGATTTGAGGGACTAATTTTAAATTTGAGGTAGTAATTTCAAAATGTTCCAAGGTTTGAGGGGTTATTTTCAAATTTGAGGTAGTGATTTGCAAAATGTTTAAAGATTTGAGGGACTATTTTAAGTAATGAATATTTGAGGGAGTAATTTCAAAATGTTTAAAGATTTGGGGGACTACTCTTAATTTTGAGGTGGTAATTTGCAAAATGTTTAATGTTTTGAGGGACTCCTTTCAAAATATGAACATTTGAGGGAGTAACTCAAAATAAGTGAGATGGGCCATTTTGTTCACTTTTAATGTGTTTTCTGCTAAAGATGAAGTGTTGAGAGTGGAAACCAATTTTCCATTTTGTGTGACCTAGAATGCGATTTCCTCCACATTTTCCCCCTTTTTTTAACCAAACACTGGCAAATGAAAAAATTGACATTTTCTTTCAGTTTAACTTTCCGTTATGGTTTTTTTCTTGGTTTTCCTTCACTTATTTAGCAAACCAAACAGCCCCTTAGGGGGGGTTAGTCACCTAGAACTTTTTAAGTAGAACTGGGATAATTGGTAAAGTGGAATAATTTTTTGACACTGGGATAATTTAGTAGAACAATGATGGGTAATTCTTAAAGTGGGATAATTTGGTAGGATAATTTGGTGGGATAATGATGGATAATATTATGAAGTTGCATAATTTGATAGGATAATTTGGTGGGGGTAATGGTGGGTATAAATTACTATTGTTAATAATTGTATATTAAAAATAATATAATATTGATAAGCAAATTCTAGTGATAACTATAAAATATAATGCAATAAAGCATCATTATTCATCTCAAATAATAAAATAATTTACAAATAAATAAAAATTTAAATCCCTAGAGTGATTCGACTTCCATCATCCCACATGGCTTCTATCATCCCACATGACATCTGCCATAGAATTTCTCCAAACTCCTATAACTGCTCGTTGAGTCTGTAACTCGTCTTCTTTATCGGAGTCATCGTCTACATCAACAACATTTCGTGGAGTTTCTAGTAGAGGATCATAAATGTCGAAGTTCAAATCTCATAACATCATAAGAAAGAAAAATAAGCATTTTTCAGCCATTAACCCTTTGGACCAATCTCATCATGAACGCTGAAACCAAATCAGCAAATAAATGAAATGTACACAGGAATCATCCATGGCCGCTAAACAGATGATCGACAGATGAACTATAAATATCCCAATCAATTTACTGAGCCGATTTAATAATAATAGATATCACCATTAACCATTCAACATCTAATCATCAATGCGATCGCAAAATTGCTTTCTAACTTATAAAAAAACATAAATAGCCCGCATATCTTTAGCACTAACCCACCAACACTATATTCTTAACCTAAACCACTGTTGTGGAGAGAAAACTTAGATCAAACAAATAATAATAAAGTAATTTAACGTCAAAAAGCTATCAATAAAGTAATACATCTTGAAGATAATAATAAAAGATCTAATCATCACAAAAACAAAGTAAAGACAGAAAAATGAACGGATGATTGACTTCATGGCAGAGAAATTTTCTAGGCGGAGAAACTAACCAAGAGGGAGAGAGGCGGCGTTTCACTTTTTTTTCCCAATTGTATTCTTTCCAATGTGTGGGATAATTTGAGAGAGAAGAACTTATGGTTATATATATAGGTAGTATAATTTGTGGGATAATTATGACCAATTATCCCAATTCTAATTCTAGTAGAATTCTACTTGACTAACGCACCAAAAAAATAATACAGTTCTAGTTCTACAAAAGTTCTACTTGACTAACACTATAAAAAAATATCCCATTTCCTAGTTCTATGTGACTAACACCTTAAAAATTTATCCCACAAATTATCCCAGTTCTAGTTTTAAGTTCTAGATGACTAACCCCCCCTTAACGACTTTCATCTTAATATGAAAAATTGATCTAAAATAAATTAACGGAAACACAGTATATACACTAAACAATTACAATATTGATTAATGATAATATAAGATAATATTGTTTATTTTTTGTCAGAATTGATTGACTTTTTGGGTTTTCAAATGGGATAATACATCTTGGTTAAATACTGCATGCATGAATCTCAGCCAATTACGAAAGAACAGATGGAATTATGGAAGAAATACCAAATATTTTTTTACTCGAGTCCAGTTCAAAAAATAAACCCATTTATAATTCAAAAATAGAAATGACAAGAATGAGTAGTTGAAATTAAATAAGCCGTAAAAATAAAGGGGTAATTTCAAAAAATATATATTTTATCTATACCCAGATTTTTGAGAGACCCCCTCGTCTATTAAGTTCAACACAGTGACCCCTTATCTAATCTATAATTAAAAGCATTAGTTTCTTAAACAGCTTCAGAATAAACTTTGTGATAAACGCGAGAGGATCAAATTTATGTATCTCGTCTTCTTTATCGGAGTCATCGTCTGCATCAGCAATATTTCGTGGAGCTTCTAGTGGAGGATCATAAATGTCGAAGTTCAAATCTCATAACATCATAAAGAAAGAAAAATAAGCATTTTTCAGCCATTAACCCTTTGGACCAATCTCATCATGATCGCTGAAACCAAATCAGCAAATAAATGAAATGTACACAGGAATCATCCATGGCCGCTAAACAGATGATCGACAGATGAACTATAAATATCCCAATCAATTTACTGAGCCGATTTAATAATAATAGATATCACCATTAACCATTCAACATCTAATCATCAATGTGATCGCAAAGTTGCTTTCTAACTTATAGAAAAAACATAAATAGCCCGCATATCTTTAGCACTAACCCACCAACACTATATTCTTAACCTAAACCACTGTTGTGGAGAGAAAACTTAGATCAAATAAATAATAATAAAGTAATTTAACATTAAAAAACTATCAATAAAGTAATACATTTTGAAGATAATAATAAAAGATCTAATCATCACAAAAACAAAGTAAAGACAGAAAAATGAACGGATGATTGACTTCATGGCAGAGAAATTTTCTAGGCGGAGAAACTAACCAAGAGGGAGGGAGGCGGCGTTTCACTTTTTTTTCCCAATTGTATTCTTTTTAATGTGTGGGATAATTTGAGAGAGGAGAACTTATGGTTATATATATAGGTAGTATAATTTGTGGGATAATTATGACCAATTATCCCAATTCTAATTCTAGTAGAATTCTACTTGACTAACGCACCAAAAAAATAATACAGTTCTAGTTCTACAAAAGTTCTACTTGACTAACACTATAAAAAAATATCCCATTTCCTAGTTCTATGTGACTAACACCTTAAAAATTTATCCCACAAATTATCCCAGTTCCAGTTTTAAGTTCTAGATGACTAACCCCCCCTTAGGGGGAAAAAGTACTTTATAATCCAAATCTAATAACTTAATTAGTATCAATTTGGTAATGCTAGAGCTTTAAATAAATTGCTTATATATATACATGTATATATGTATATATATATACATATATATGTATATGTATAAAGTAACTTATATAAATATTATCATATATAAAAAATTACTTAAAAAGTTGTTAAGATGTTTAACAAAACTGTGCTTAAATATCATTGTCAAAATATACCGTTCATATATGATACATAAGCTAAAAAAAAGCTACTTTTTAAAGCATCGTAATGTTTCTTATAAAAGTAACCACTTAAAAGTAAAAGTAATTTTAATAAGCATGCAAAAAAAAATTACCAGATATTATTAATGTTTGCTTCTAAAAAATAAGCAGGGGAAAAAAACTCATCAAGGTGATAGCCAACCGTCAATAAAATCACGGAGGATCCAATCAATTCAAAGGGCAAGCGACAAATGTATCGCGTGTCTAGAATTTGAAACTACCACGAAAGAGTAACAACCTTGTCGTAGCAACAAATTTTAGGATTAGAGGCTTGACGTATTTTTCAATTGGTTGGAAAAACAAGGCGAAGAGAGGCAAATATTGACTGTACTACATTAATTAAACAGGCTCACCTGGATTTGATCCCCGACGTTGA